GGACCTCTAAAGGTCATCTAGTCCAACCCCCCTGCTGTGGGCAGGGACATCTTCAACTACATCAGGTTGCTCAGAGCCCCGTCCAACCTGACCTTGAACGTTTCCAGGGATGGGGCATCCACCACCTCTCTGGGAAGCTGTCTGTATTAGTGTCTATCCAAAATGGAATAGATGGGGTTAATAAAGCCAAGGATTAGGTCCTTAATCTGTGCCAGGACTGCTAGAAATGTAGATTTTTTTTTTCTTTTGTCACATGCTAGAAAAAGCAACAAAGGACAAACATGAGGATTTTCATCTCTCTCGGAAGCCTTCTCTTAACCATGCTTCCCTGGCTTCTTTTCAGCTGATGCAGTGAATCTAAGGATCGGATGATGACTTAAAATAATGGTCTTGTTCTCCTGGAAATGAAGAGCTCAGGTGCTGGTAAAACTGTTGGCTAGCTTTTCTTTTATTGTGTTACGATTCCAGAGTTAGTTTTATGTTTCCAAAGAATCTGGTTTATGTTAACTCTTGGCTATATTTTCTCGTATATACGTAGTGTCTTGCATGGGAGTAGCCAGGCTATGCGGAAGATCTGTGCCAGTGAAAGGTTATGCGCGATGCATTTAACTTTGCATTCCTCTGAGAAAGGTGGGAGTTGGGTGTGTTATTGCTCCCAGGCTGAGCCCTGAGAAGCTGATGAGTACAAGAAACAGTTGTACTGACTTCCTTGAGAGGAACTGTATGGTGACTTGAAAACTAAAACATTAAAGGGTTTTTGCCCAAACTGAGCCTCTAATGGCTGATTTAAAAAAAACAAACAAAAAACAAAAACCCTGGTTATTTCAGGGTTTATAGTACAAGTCTACTCGGTTTTTCATGGGTGCAATGAAACGGGGCTCTACTTTTTTTCCAGGCTCCTACTTGAAACTACTTCTAAGCTGTGGGCATGAAGCAGGGATGGCAAAAGGTGACGGAGGTACATCTGCTGGTTAGAGCTATCTGCCTTCGTCAGAGATATAGGGTAGAAAAGCTCTTGTTAGATCAGGACAATAGTGATGGGGGAAAAAATATTACTGCCTGGAACAGCAGTGACCTCTTGTGGGTAGTGAGGATGGCTGGTTATGCTGGCAGTTGGCACATGGAGACAGAGGATATTATTCTGTTGTAATTATGTCTGTGGCCTTGGGGTGAATGGGGTAAAGGGAGCTCGGATTCTCTTGGCTGGGTAGCAGAAACAAACAACTATAAGTAGTGCTAAGTCTCTTCTTCCTCGCATGTATGTGCTCTGAAGCTGAGCGTCCTTAAGTGTTCAGGAGCAGTCCAGGCTCATCTCCCTGGTGAACCCAGAGCTGGCCTTCGAGCATGTTGGGGGAGCAAGAGAGTGAGACCAGAACTTTTGCTCATGTACTTTCTCCGTGAAGTGTCTTTATCTCTGATAAAAGCTCTTTCACTGATCTGGCACAAAATCAGGAGAGTAACATGGTACTATGCAAGCAAGCATTGTGTCTGTGATATGCAGAGGTACTGTGGGGGTTTCAGCTCCTAATAATCACTTTAAAAGCCCTAAGGCACATAACCAGGTTCCCAGTTAACTGAGAACTATGCCTTAGCCCAGCTTCCTAGCCAGCTGCAAAGGCAAAGTGATAACTTCTTGTTGAAGCCTTTTTTTTCTTTTGAAAAGGTTACCTCAGTACATTCTATCTCGCAGTTAGTGGAGGTAAATTTATGTAGTTACAGCTCAACCGATGCTTTATAAGATGCAGGGTATAGCCTGTGTGTCAGAAAGCTCTTTTAGTAGTTGGTGAGACGAATTCAAGTCAGAAAAAGAGACTTTCTGTGTCTTTCTACCAAACACCAGGTTGCTTCACCTCCCTGTGCTTTCAGAGCATCTGAAGGCGAAATTCTCAAAGGAGAATTTTCATTTTGTATGTTGCCTTACGGCAAGCTAGTTGCTTAGATTTTTGCTTCTCTCCTCTGAGCTACACACAACACTGCCTTTGAATTGTCATATATCTCTGGGCAGTTTCCAAATATTTCTATTCCCTGAACAACTGCAGATTCCATGGGACTGAAAGTAGGAATGTGTATCTAGGCAGACAGCTGCCCTGCTGCCCTGCAATTAGAAGGTAACAATATCAAGGGAATGCCACAGAGATGCTGGGTGGTGGATGTCTTGCACATGCAGATGTCAAGAAAATGAAAGGTAGTGGGAATCTTTAAGAAGTTATCTACCTTTTACTACTCAGTTTTGAAGCACTAACTCTTTGTGCATGCCCTTCTGTTGTGTGATGACTTCTGCGTAAATTTACCATATTCCTATTCTTAGAAAATAGGGACAGATCCAGCAGACGATCCTATGCCTGTCCTGTTTCTTCCTGATTGCTAAGGGAATGAAACATCTCTCAGTGAATCGAGACAAAACCAGAATTTGCATTTCCACTAACTTGTGGTTGTGATTCAGATATTCCCTTCTTTCCAGTTCTGATAAAGTAGTTTGTCAGGTCATCATTAGTTGTGGAAATAAACTGCTACCTTGCAAGACTTAAGCCGTGTTGTAGAGCCATGTCCATCATGCCAAAATAAAAGCAACACTCAAAAGCCAGGGTATTTGAAGTGGTTTGTCTGGATGTTTGTGATAGGTGGGTGAGTGTCTTGTGCTATAAAAGTGGGGAAAGGGAAACCAAAGAATGAGGAAGAAGCCAAGAATGTGAAAGAGCAACAACTGGGAATGCAGCCTTGACAAATTTCTGTCTCGTGTTCTTTTTTGGCTCAGATGGTAGCTAAAGAAAGCCTGGAATAATGATTAGTTAAAAAAAGCTATGAGTGTCAGATTGTGTTCAGGGGAAATGCAAGTTGCTGCAACTTCCTTTTCCTATAAAGAATATGCAGAGGGCGTCAGGCTCCACAATAAGCAACTTCTATATGTAAAAGCCTGCTTGACTGAAGTTTAACTGGGTGGTAAAGGTCAAAAAGGAACATAGAAAGAAGATCTTGTTTCCAAAATAAGTAACTTTAACAGAGCAAATGACAGATGCATCAAGGTGACCAAGACGCAGCACACCAAGCCTGGATATAGCTGGAGACTTAGTAAAGAGAATTTTAAAAAGCTCTGAAGTTCTATCTAGCAACTGCTTGGAAAGTGTTGGTGTGACTTGTCCTTGGCGGTGAATCTCTGCAGCAGAAGTGTGTTTGGATGGCACAGGAAAGGCAACTGTAAGATGGTTCACTTGTGGGGCGCTCTGCGTGCTGACCCACGCGGCCCCCTTCTGTGCTGTGGCAAAACTGATTTAAATCAATCTGATGAAGAGCTCTCAAGACTTCATTCAGAACTGGCACTCACTCCCGGGTAGCCGAGGCATAGCTGAATGTTAGTGAAAAGCTCTTTGTGAACTGGCAGAGCGGGTGTGAAGACTTACCCTGACAAACTGACGTATCCCCGAGGACTTCCAGGGTTCATTAGAAAATTGGATTTGAACTTAGAAGTCAAAAGCAGATGAAGATAACCAAAAGCTCAAGGAGGCAGTGGAACTGGTTGCAGGTTTTGAATACGGCTGTGCAGCAGAGTAGTAGAAGAAGAAATTGCTGCAGTGGAAGAAAAATGGGAAAACCTGCTCTTAAAAAAACATGTAAGCAGTAGTGGCCTCTTATACATGTGAGGGGAATGCAGGTTATTTTTTAAAAAGTGCAAATTTTTTTTTTTTTCAGAAAAGCGGCAACAGTGCAAAAATAGAGTTCAATTAAATACTAGTTATCCTGAAAAACCTAGTTGTAAAATGATGTGGTCTAAATACAACACTGGGCAAAGAAGTGATTTAAAATCTTGAAGAACCCCTCCTCAATTTGGAAGATGGGAATGGTGTTCTTTCAGTTTTACATGGCCAAAAGTAACATGCAAACACCAAATAATTTGTGGTTTTCTAAGTATTTTGTCAGATGTGTTTTCTGGGGTGTGTTGGATGGCTTCGGGGTGCTGAGAAGCTTGGGTGGGGGATAAGGCCACCTGGTTTTACAGGTCAGAATAAACCTTGTTTAAAAACTGAGTGTAGCAGGGATCCTTGGTGGCTAGGTAGCTAGGAAATTGTTAAGCTGTCTGAGAGAACGAGACACCTGGAACAATAACCATCTCCTCTGGAAACTGAGCACATCGCTATCCACGTAAGGTATGAGTTGTCCGTGTGGAAGCCAAGGAAGTATCAGGGAAGTTAAAGCAAACAAAGATGTGTTTTCAACTTGTGAATTCTTTGCAGGGGGAGGCGGAAAAAGCACTTTCTTACACCAGGAATGCAAAATCCGTTTACCATGGTAGCGAATGCCCTATTGTGCCTGCTTCTCGTTTTCTGCTTCACAGGTGGCAGGGTGCTGCAGGAGCCAGCGCTGGCGTGTTTCAAAGTGAAGAACGTGGAAGGTAAAGATGACATTGGTGCCACCTCGGGAGGGTGAAGGAACCGGGGGAGGATTTGCGGGCCTGACAACCTCTGATCCCGGGCGCCTGAACACGTACGGCTCGAACCGTGCCCCTGGGGCTGTTCTGCAGGGAACCGAGACGCGGAGCTGGGTCTCGGAAAAGGGCGGGAGGGCGGCGCGCCCTCCGCGGGGCAGGAGGGTGTCAAGTGCGGCTTTTAGGAGGCGGCAGTAAAAAAGCCTTGATTTCCGAGCCGGCTCCCTCCGTCCCATTGCACCAGGGTTTTCGGAGTTCAAGAAAAAAGGCGGTTCCTTTTTCCTGCGGCTACGGGGGGCGCAGCAGGCTCCCTCCAA